CCGCTGTCGTCGGGAACCACTTTCGCCGAAGAGATCTCTCCGTAGGGCTCGAAAAGCGCGCGCAACTTCTCGTCCGAGTCGTACTCTTCCGACAGGTTCTTCACGTAGACGTTTGTGAAGAGACGCACGCGCTCTCCCATGTGCTTCTCGCGCTCCTTTCGCGGCACAAAGCGGCCGACGAACACTTTCTTGCCGTTCAGAAGCATTCCGTTCACCTTCAGGATGGCGTTCGTGGCCGCCTCTTCCGACTCGAAGTGAACGAATCCGTAGCCTTTACTGTTGCCGTCCTCGTCCTGCGCCACTTTACACGACAGGATATTCCCGAAAGTGCTGAACGTGTCGTACATTATCTTATTGTCAATACTTTTGTCCAAATTCTTGATGAAAATGTTTCCGACGCCAGACTTCCGCAGAGAGGGGTCTCTTTGGGACCACATTATGCGCACCGGACGCCCGTTTATGACGTCGAAGTTCATGGTGTCGAGCGCGCGCTCGGCTGCGGGCATAGAAAGATGGTTAGGGTTAGGGAAGGGATGCGCAGACGAGGAGCGCAGTGGAAGGGCTCAGACGCGACACGTGTTCTCACGCGACGACCGCAGCGTTTGTTCGGTGGGTTCAGTCCTCGCGGACTCCGACGCCGCGGTCGCCATCTGTTGGTGTCCGACGTCATCATCACTGCCCTCCGCCTCCTGTCACGTGACTTACCGTCGGCGGGCTGTTGGAAGTTGACGTACGCATAGCCGAGCGAACGGCGAGTAATCATATCTCTGCAGACGCGGATTGAGAGCACGGGTCCGGCCGTCGAGAACTTCTCGAAGAGCATCGCTTCCGTGACGTCGGAGGCGAGGTCTCCGACGTAGAGCGACGCCATCGGATACGAGGGACCGCTCGGGTTCATTGTCTTCGCGGCGGACAACGGGTTAGCAATGCTTTCAATGGATATGAGTTTCTCTTACCTTAAAGTCGAGTCTTTTTCGGCGAAACGAAAGCAAATATTTTTGGGTTTTTCGAAGATTTTACGATTTTTTTGTTACTTTTTGACGAATTTTTTAATTTTTTTGGATTTTTTGGAGTTTTATGTTATTTTTTAATCAGTTTTACGAAACAAAAACAAAAATGTATTATAAATTGATTCAAAAATAAACTAAAAGTAAAGACTTTTCGCCGAAATCTGATTTTTTTGAAGATTTTTTGAAATTTTTTCCGAAATTTCTGCGAAAGAAGTCTTTCTCTGAAACGACTCTAAAATGGAGTCAAAAATGGATTCCAAACGCATTGCTGTCTCTGCCGTCCACTGCGAGTGCGCACAACTCCGCACCCAATCAGAGCTCAATGCCATTCGCGAGTCGTCTCTATCGTCGCTTTGACGCACACTTTGACGCTGTGTTGCGCTCACAGCGAGAGTCGACTGTATTTTGTTGGCGACGACAGCGACGACTGGCGGACGACTAAAGCAATGGCGACGACGACGAGAGACGCGATCCGAAGCAAAACAAACGCCTTTTTGGCGCAATTGGCGGCCAAAGAGTGGACGCCGCGCGAGATGTTCGCCGCCGCTCTCACCGCTCTCTACACGCAAAACGGCGGCGATTGGCGCCGATGTGCGGATCGCGTGCGACAACTGTGCGACCGATTGGACGACAGACGACAAGCGTTGCCGCCAATGAAGAGCGTGTCTGTTGTCGTCGAGCGACTCACCGAAGCCGAGATCCGGAAGTATTATTGCGACGACTCGGACGACGACAGCCCGACGACGACGAATGCGACGCCTGTCGTGCCGGCGATGGACGCGACTGTTGTTCATCCGCAACGGATGTTCGCTTTGCCGCCGCTTTTGCCGCAAAAGCGCCGAAAAGAGGGAATAAAAGACGAGAAAAGAGCGAAAAAGTCGATAAAAAGGAATTAAAGTTTATTTCCGAGAAAATCAGTTGTCTTTGAGTTGAATACCGCACGCGCTGGTGATGTGGTAATCCATCTGCGGATTAGAGAAGGGATTAAAGCTTCGGCTAATAGTGAGCTGTGACTCACGCAGGCCTGATAGAGTTGGATCTGATCGATGACGCGCTCTTTGGACGCGAACTCGCGCTTCGCTTCCGACTCGCAGTTCTTGTGGTGCGCGAGAAGAGCGCTCTCCACGTCTTTCGGCAACTTCTTCGCCTTAATCTCGTTCTCGGCCTTCGAGTAGCGATAGTTTCCTTTCGCCGTAAACCACTTCTCTGTCCGCAGCGCGCACTCCGCGATCGCCTTCTGGTCTGAAGAGTGACGTCATTCTCAAGTGCTCTCCTATTGGTGGCCAACACTCACGTGATTCGATGGTCTCTTGCGTGAGATTCGCGGGAATGGGATGTCGCGCGAGACACGTCTCGAGGACGGCGGCCTTCGCGCGCTTCTCGGCGTCTTTGGGCTCCAATTGCGGACATTTTCCCCAATCGATAGTCGGCTAAAGAGAAACACAATTAAATCCAAGCGATTTTCGTCTCTATGGTTACGGCTTTGTCTGTCGTCGCGTTGGCCGCGGGTGTCGTTCCTGTCGTCGTCGCCGTCTGTTTGTCGACCTTTTTGTTTGCGGGCGCAGCGAAAGCACTGAACGCGCAGACAATGCATAAGAAAAGCGAGACTTTCAGAAGAGTTTCCATTTTTGGGGTTTTTTGGGCGAAAGTCTCGCGACTCTTATAAAGGATTAGAAGAGTGGGCGGAGTCTGGAACTCGGCGTCCGATTGGTCGCCCGGAAGGTGGCCTTCAATTCGAGCGAAAAGTCCTTCGGTTTTGATCTCATTTCCACTCAAAACACGTCCTCAACAATGGGTGGAGTCTTCGCTTTTCACTCGTTTTTCCGCTTTTCGTAAAAATCCTTCGAATTTCCCAAAAATCGAGTCAAAAGTCAAGAGAAATTACTTTCGATTTGTCGCCATTTTTGGGCGCCATCTGGCGGTCGGACACAGGAGTGGGGGTCGCGGGAGGGGTGGGGGCGGGCAGTCGAAGGGACAGACGCTGTGGTCGGGAAACAGCGGCCGAAAGGCAGAGGAATAGAGTATTAGTTGTTTCGTAGACTTCTCTCGAGATGGCGTTCAGTGATGTCATTGAAGTGTTGTTTGGATTGGTTTTGAAAATGAGGCCAAAAGTGAACGAACGAAAGGAACGAAAAGAACAGAAATGTTTCGAAACTTTCAAAGCGTTTGCAAAACCAAACGAAAGACATTTGAGGCGAAAATCGCGACAAAAATACACCTTTTTTTGTGACTATTTCGGCCGAAAGTGAGGCCAAAGTGCGCCGAATCCGCGGACAAGTGTATCGTCCGTCGTGTGGGCGAAGATTTGCCGATTTCGCGGACACCGACCACAAGTTCGCGACCGCCGCCGGAACCGTCTTCGGGAGCTTCGGCCGCGACTCGGAAGACGACAACAATCACAGTAATCTCTGCCAAGTCCTGGGTTTGCGGGGATAGTGACCAGAAAAGAGCCGCAAACCGCAACTGATCGCTGATTGGCTGCGTTTGAGTGCATGACCTACAAGTGGGTCAGTGTGTTGTGTGTTGTGTTGTTCTGCGCTTCCATTGAGACGCCGTTTCTCTCACTCTCTCTCGCGTTCGTTGAACTCTGAGTGAAGTTCGCGTTCATTGACCTTCAGTTGCGTCGAAAGCAGTGCTAAGTGTGTCACGAGTGCGCAGTCGCAGTGCTTTGACGCTGAGTTCGTTGACCTCTAAGTGAATTCAATTGAGTCTTAATTGTGTTTAAATCTCGTGAAGAGAAACGAGTTTTTCGTCTCGGATTAGTTCAGTGTGTCATTCGTTAGCACTCGATGTGAAGCCTTTGGTGTCGTCTCTTCGGTCGTCTCTGTCGTCCTCCCAGTCGTCAGTCATGTCTTTATTCCATTCATATAAACTCAAGCGAAGGAAAGTCGACGACTTGTCGCCCAAAGACGTCCATAACGACAAGAGCGCCGCCATTCAGCTCCACCTCAACGCAATCGCCGACCACTCGGCGCCCGACTCGGCGGCGCTCGTCCTCCTCAGTGCCGCCGAAGTGGTCGTCGGACAGCGCCAGAAGGCGCGCAACAATAGCAACAACAACGGGTCGGACAACGCGTCGTCGTCGTCGTCCGGCGGGTCGTGCGACGAGTGTCTCGATCTGTCGACTCGCGGCCAGCGCTCGGCCAACGCGCCGCTCCTTATGGGCGACATTCCCGGTCAGGGCGACGGCCACAAGACGATGGTGTGGACGGCGGCGCCCGTCGCCCTCAACGGCCACCACAACACCAACGGGCAGCCGCCGCCGCCCGCGCTCTCCAACTCGTCCAACAGTCCGTCGTCGACGTCGACGACACCTCAGCCCGACTCCCAGTCGCTGCCCGTCGTCTCTGTCGTGCACTCGTCGTCGTCGCTGTCGTCGTCGGCTCACGACCTGCTCGTCAACGAGTGTCGTCCGTCGCGACAGATGACGAACGACAACAACCACTCTGTCGTCGTCGCGACGCAAGAGCTGCAGAACTGCGACTCGAATGCGCCGATGATTTGCATGATTTGCGAGGACCGCGCGACGGGTCTCCACTACGGCATAATCACGTGCGAGGGCTGTAAGGGCTTCTTCAAGCGCACGGTGCAGAACAAGCGCGTCTACACGTGCGTCGCCGACGGCCAGTGCGTCATAACGAAGCAACAGCGCAACCGTTGCCAATACTGTCGCTTTCAGAAGTGTCTGCGACAGGGAATGGTGTTGGCGGCCGTGCGCGAGGACCGCATGCCCGGCGGCCGCAACTCCGGCGCCGTTTACAACCTCTACAAAGTCAAGTACAGGAAACACAAGAAACCCGTGAACGGGACGACACAACAGACGACGCAACAGACGACACTCGTCGTCCACAACAACCACCTGAATGCCAACCACGTGTCCACTGGCGGCGCCGGCATTCTAAAGACGGCGCTCACGTGTCCGCGCGATAACAACGTCTACGGCGGCGGCGGTGGACAGCAGAGAGGCGTCGGCAACCACTCGCCGTACGCGCTGTCGTCGTCTGCGGTGGTGAACGGCAACGGCGGCGGACGACACGCGACGCCGTCGACGACAGCGCTGTCGGTTGTCGTGACGACGACCACGTCTTCGGGGCCGCCGCCGATGACCACATCCAGTCCCATAATGCGTCAAATGAATGATTTGATGACAAGAGAACCGGTGATGACTCGAGAGGAGAGCGACCAACTGCTGAGCGCTCTCATCGAGTGCGACGACTTCGCGGACTTTGGGTGAGTTTTGTCGTCGTCTTTGTGTCGTCTCTAATGTGTGTTTGCTTTCAGTTCGCTGTCGTCGCTGGAGATGACGGACGCGACGACGACGACGTCCACGACTTCGACGGAACTCTCGGACAGACTGTAAGTGTTTTTTTGTCTACCCTTTCGTCGCAATCGTCGCTCACTTTGTCGTCCAACAGGTGTTCGATCGGCGACTCCATTGTCTACCGTTTGGTTCAGTGGACGAAACGCCTTCCCTTCTACGATCAGCTGCCCGTTCACGTGCACACACAGGTGCGACCCTCCCTTCCCTGTGACCCACTTTCGCTTACATAACGCCTGTCCCCTCTCTCCCACAGCTCCTGACGCACAAATGGCACGAACTGCTCGTTCTGTCGACCTGTGCCTTCAACGCCATTCAGACGACAGGCGGCGTCCACGCGAACGACGGCGTCGTCGCCGACACTCTCGAGGCGGAGATCTCGCACTCGATGAACAACTTGGCGAAGAACTTGTCGCATCTGAACGCCTCCTCGCAGTCCACTGTCATCTCGTGGCAACAGTTGGAGGCGGAGGCGGGCTCTCTCGTACAGGAGTTGTGTTCCGTTCGCTTCCAATTCAAGTCCATCGCTCTCACGCTGAAGGAGTTCGTGGCCCTCAAAGTGGTCGCTATGACGACCATTCAGCCGACGTGCGACTTCTTCGACACGAATGTCGTCCACATCCGCGACAAATACCTGAACGCTCTCATCGCGCACCTGTCGGAGCGTCAGGACGTCGGCGTCGTCGCCGTCAGACGACACGCGAACGACGCGACCAACGACTCGGTGGCGACGCACTCGCGGATGACGTCTCTCCTCAACTGTTTGCAACACGTGACCAACGCGGCCACTCTGCTCCTCCAATCCAAGATGTTTTACGTGCCGTTCCTTATGAACAGCGGTTCCCTTAGCAACGGCTTCTGCGCGTCTTCGGGCTCTCCCGCGGACTCCAAGCCGTGAACCAGTGTTTTGTCGAGACTTTTGTACATATTTTCAAACAATAAACACTTCTCTCTCTCTGACGCCATCTGTCGTCCTTTGCGTCGCTCTCTCTGTCGTCGCCATTACTCTCCAAACAGTCTTTGTCTTCGCGATGTCTTACGTGTGCTTCGCGTGCGGACAACACATCTTCGACGTCGCGCTCTACCAATGCGATGGCCGCCACTTCCATAAGGCGTGTCTCAAGTGCCAGATGTGCGCTCTCGGCGTCCAACCGGAACTCGGAGACGACAAGCTCTACGCCATCGACGGACTCCTCGTTTGTCGCAAAGACTACACAGCGATGCGCAGCGCGTGTCGAGTCTGCCAACAATGCATTGGTCCGCACGAGTTCCGCGTCGCCGTCGGCGGAAACGCGCGAAATTCAATTCACACGAAATGCATGTCCTGTCAGTCGTGTCGCGCGAGTCTCGAGAGGGGCGACAAATACGTCATCACTCAAGACAACCGCCTCCTCTGCCACAAGTGCTGCCATCAGTTCGCGCACTTCCAGCCCTCCGCCCAGACGGCGCCCCCGCCGGCCAACGGTGGTCGCAGGGGGCGGAAGCGGGCGACAAACAACTCGTGACTCGTTTTTAAGCAAACATTTAATATTGAAATAAAAATTATGTCAAAACACAGAATCTTTTGCTCGAGTTTTGCGAGAATTGGAGTCTCTTTTGGGACTTATATTCCGACAAATACTGCAATTGTTTGGCATTAATGGCGCCCCTCCGCGCCTCCCGGATCATCTCCACCGCCTCCTCGTACTTCATGCCCGCTTCGATGAGCGCGATGGCCACGAGGACGGGCGCGCGCCCGAGTCCGGCCACGCAATGGACGGCCACACACGCGTTCGGCTCCTCCTGGAAGCGGTGCGACAGAAGCGACACCCAGTTCTTGATGACCGACTGCGGCGGCGGAGTTCCTGCAAAGAGAGAGACAGTTGTCGTCACGAGTGTCGTCGCCTGTCGTCCATACCGTCGTCGAAGGCCCAGTCGTGACACGTGATTCCGGCCGACTGGAGGCGCGCCGACGAGTACGTGCTCTCACACACGCGCACGACGTCCGACACGTGGCGGCGCTTGAGTTCCTGCGTCGCGAGGAAGGGATTAGCTTAGGATTAAGGGATTAACGACTAATACCTCAATGTATTGCGAGAGCGTGGCGTCCGTCGGCTTGTCTTCAAAGGAAACGTTTATTACTTTTACGACACTCTTATCGCGCGACTAATACTATAAATACCTGTTATTAAGAACTTCATGTTTCTATGGAAACCGAACGCAAATACAATTAGTTTTGGGCGAAAAAAGGCGACAAAAAGTGTCGAAAATACCGGAAAGTGATTTGCGAGGGACCGCAGCGTCCCATCGACGCCGACGTCATCGCGAGTGACGAGTGGTTGCGGGCGAAGAGCGCGCCGACAGTGCGATAGACGGACTACACGACGACGGAGACGACGACTGTCGCACCAATTGTCGCCATTTTCGCCAAAAAGCCTTTCATTGACTCAACGCTCGCAACGAATGACAGAATGAATGAACGGAGAGAACAGTGAAAACAGTCGGAGACGAGAGCGCAGCGCATGCGCGGCGCGCACGGAAACCACGTTACGGAGGGGGGCGCGGGGGAGGAGGGGGCGGACCGCCCAAGCAATACACGCGCACTAAAAGTGTCGTAAAATTTATTAAAAACTTCAACAAAATGAGAGACGACGCGAAAGGCGTCCAAAAGTCGTACGAATGTCACGAGAAATGACTTTTTGGACTCTTTTCGCACAAATCGTCGCCTTTTTTATGCAATTTGTGTCCAATTCTTGTCTCGAGGACTACGAACAACGCGTCCGCAGCGCGCGACTCCTCGTCGACGCCATGACTGACGACAACAGTGGCGTCGCGTCGTCTTCGCGGCCGCCGAGCGCGCAGACTATGTTTGAGTGCGAAGACCAATAAAATGAGTTCTTTTGCGGACAAAAATTGTGTCATTGAAGGCGCGTGACGTCGACGTAGCGCTTGGAGCTCTTGAACTCGAACTTGCGCGAGACGGGCGGTCCGGCGGCTGTCGTGGGCCCGACGGGAGGCGCGGCGAGAGGGGGCGCGACGGCGCCGTTGGCGTCTTTGGCGGCCGACGTGTCGACCCATTGTTGGAGCGCTTTGTCGTAAACGAGAGTCGGATTCGAGTCGTCCGGAAGTATCGCCTGATTCTTGGCTGCGGAGCGAGACTTCCGTCAGATTTATAGTGTTTTTACAGTTAACTCACGTCTGAACGAAAAGAGTTTCGATAAGAGTCCGGACGACGACTTCTGCGACGACTTGTCGTCCAACTCGTTGTTCGCTGTCGTCGTCGTCGTCGGCGCTGTCGTCCTCTGCGTCGGCGGCGACTGATAGGAGCGCGCGGAGTCCTGCGGCGGGAAGGGCGCCGCCTCTCGACTGTTGGGCAGCTCGCGAGAGGGCTCGAAGTCGAAAGGCATCGAAGGAATGGCATTAGAGGTGGATATGAAAGACAAGGCGTCGCCGTTGGGCTCTCCGTTCGGCACAAACGGCGTCTCTGTTGTCGTCGTCGTCGTCGTCGTCGCCGCTGTCGTCGTGTTGTCGACAAACGCGTTGTTGTATTGCGTCGGCGTTTGGACGACGGGTTGCGGAGACACGAGTTGTCCGTAAAAATCAAACGCCGGGTTCGGAAGCGACGGCTGCTGTGGAAGCGGGGGCTGAGAGAGCGGCGGCGGCAGCGGTTCGGACGACACGTATGGCGTCGACTCGATCGGCTGTCTATCACTTTGTTGCGGACTGTCGTCGGGCGTCGTGTCGAACGACGACTGTTGAGCAGAGGTGTCGACGTTAAGGGACTGGTCGTCGGCGTAGAGGTCGTCGCCGGTTGTCGTGTCGTCGACGACGAGAGGGACGACGTTTGGATCGAAGCGCGACTCGAGTTCGTAGACGAGACGTCTGAGCGGTAATGATGTCACGAAGCGGTCGTCGAATGTCTTGAATTGACGGCAATATTGAAGACAATTCTCGACGAATCCGAAGTCGAAGAGAAGAGAAACGAATTTCACTTTCTTTTCGACGAGTTTTCGGTTAAACTTTTGGCCCGAAAAGCGCGCGAATTCGAGGCACTCGTTGATCAGAATGGCGTCCATTTCGCTCTCAAACAAGTCGTCGCTGAGAACGACGCTGTCGTCGGCTGTCGTCGTCGTGTCGTCGGCGACAAGACTTTTGACGAGAAGTAGTAAATGCGGGAAAACGTTGTGTTTGTCCGACATTTGCACCGAATTTAAGTCGATTTCATTCGACAACAGAATGAGAAACGACTCGAAAGTGACCGAAGTTTTCACCGAAGACTTGCGCTGAACGGCGTTCACGAGCGACGTGTAGAAGACGTGCACTGCGGGCGAAGGAAAGGCATTAGAATGTGTCAAAAGGGACGGCCGGCGCCCCGAGACTCACGCGGATCGTTCGGATGAAGCGTTTCGCAGAACTTCTTCACGGTTTTGATCATCAAATCATTTGTTGTCGTCTTTCTGTCGCTTCGGTTGTCGTCTCGCGTCAACAAATAGGAGAGAGTCAGCGCGTGATCCATGAGTCCGTTGTTGAGGTCGAGCGCGTGGTTGAGAGCGAGAGAGCGCTGTCCGCGCATTAGAAGCGCGCGGAAAGTGTTCAACGAATGCGTGAGGAGTTCCGTCTCGCGCGGGAACTGGCGGTTAAGGGCGTCGACGTCGACGACATGAGGAAATAGGAGTTCGGCGAAGTCGTGTCCTTTGACGCGCGTCTGTTTCAAAAGCATTTCCAAAACGCGGAAAACGAGTTTCAACTCGAAGTTCGACTTCCGGTCGGAGGCCTCGCGCCGACCCCTCAGCCACTCGAGACACGTGTCGCGCGACGCGAATGGGAGGCCCGAGTGCTCGCGCAGGAGTGGAGAGAGCGAGAGGTCGGCGAAGAGGTAGTCGACGAAGAGATCGCGCAAACAGTAGACGTGAAGTGTCGTCCTTTGCGTCGTGTTGTCGACGACGAGTAGACGGTTGTCGTGTCGCGAGAAGACGGCGCGCGCGTGACAGCGCCGACTGCCGTACTTGAGAGGTGTCCGCAATTGGGGCGCCGGCTGTTGGACGGCGTGTTGAGCGGCGGCGCGCATCTCGTGCTGTTGGCGCACATATCGGCGGTAATACTCGCGATAGTATTGACTGTAATATTGCGACAAATAATCCGTTTGTTGAGTCCAAAGCTGAGGATTGCTTTGAAACGCCATTTGGTTCGAAGCCATCGACGGGTCGTACGGCGACTGCTGTCCGCCGGCCAGCGCTGTCACGTGAGGAGGACTGAGAGCCGCCGCGTTGTAGTGATAGAAGTGGTTGAGAGGGCCGTTGGGGGCGTTGGGCGGCGCGACCCCCGCATTGACGACACTATTGACGACACTATTGTTGACTCTATTGCCGAAAGAGTCGACAGAATTGGGACGCGAATTGAAATCCATTTCTTCTCAACGAATGCCACGTCTTATGACAACAATTGACTGAATCTATGAGGAAATGTCGAGAGAGAGGACTCGCGCGCCATCTGTTGGCGGAGGCGGCGGAAGAGACCGCGAGATGCCGTCGCAGTCGTCGACGAGTTCTCGCTGTTCGCCGAAAGCGAGAGTTTGAGGGCTTTTGTGTCGGAAATGCTTTAATGCGAAAGGAATTGAGGAAAGAGTTCCCAAAGAGTGACAAAAAGACATTAAGAAAGACATTAAAGGCATTGAAAAGACTTTTTTGTTTCAATAGTTTAATGAAAAGTAGTTTATTAAGAGTTTTAAGACATTAAAAGTGTTTTTATTTGCAAAACAAATTACAATTGCATTAAAAAGCAATGAAATTGCGATTAGTTTTGACACAAATTCTCTGCGAAAACAGTTTTTCGCAAATTTTCTCACGAATTGAGAAATGGATTGAAAAGCAAAAGAGTTTTTATGAAAACGCTCTCAAAATCCAAATAAATTCAAGACTTTTTGAAACGAAAAAGAGTTTTATTTTTACATAAGAATTACATAAAAAGTCTTTGTCTCAGCTTTTGGTCGATACCGGAAACCAGTTTTCCGTTCACTCGCGTCGTCTTTGGGATCTTTTGTTTGTCGGAAAAGCGGACGAAAGAGTCGACGAAAGAAACGCTTTTCAAAGTCGCCGAAAGACTCATCTCTCGGAACGCGCTGTCCGTCAGGCGCGCGCTCGACATCTCCAGGCGCTCCAATTGCGGCAGATTTGCGGCGAAATCGGCGAAGAAGTGGTCGTCAAAGACGTCTTCTTTGGTGTGGATTTGAATTCGGAGTCTTTTGAGAGCAAAAAGTCGGCGAAAGTCTTGCGAAACAATTCGCGACTCTTTTGGCGCGAAATTCAATTCGATTTCCAGTCTTTGGATTCGCGCGAAGTTTGCGTTGATTTCCGCCAAAAGTCGTCTCAAAGACTGCGCGGAGAAGACGTTCGCGCGAACCAA